CAAAATATCCACTGGATGAGACCAGACTGATTCTTAATCAATCTACCTACCTACCTACATTTTAGAGCAGGGTACAGAAACTGAACTCAGGACCTCACACTTGCCAGGCAAGCATTGCATCACTGAGCTAAATCCCTTCTCTATCTATATTATAGTACTCTGACAAGTCATTTAATCTTTAAGGGCCTAAATTCATCACCTATGAAATGATACATTTGACTTAACTCCTAGAGTCCCTTTTAGCAATAAGAACTCCAAAATCTAAACTAATTTCCTTTAATATTTTATCTCATAATGTTCTCACAAGTCTACAATCCTTTGTACTAACAAAGATGAAGGAAACCAGTAAATAAGATCTGTTCTCCCTTGCTGGGTCTTAGTAAGGCCTTAAACAATACCTCTACTCCTGGCAGACACCTTCCTCCCTGCCGACTTCGGTGCTGGCTTGGCTCTTTTCTTCTGATTTGCTCTGGTTTGTCCTTGATGGGAGGCAGAGGCAGAGGCAGAGGCAGAGGCAGAAGCAGAGGCAGAGGCAGAGGCAGAAGAGTCAAGTCGGACTTGACGATGCCGTCTTGACTTGGATGCCTTAAGGGGTAAAAATCCAATTAATCAAAAAGAATCACAAAGGGAACCCAACTAGCAGATAATTTAGAGAAAGACAAAATATACAAAGATGAAGAATGATTTGCAAAAGTACCTGTCATGCAACACTTATTCCATCAGCTTCTCATATCACTATGTGGGCTGGGTACTTAGTCTCTTACCTTCCCTTTCTAACAGTTTCCAGTTACTGCTAACACTATGGACCCACACTGGGTGTGGCATCTGGAAGGCTGGGAATTGAAAGTGAACAGGCAGATACTGCTTTAATTCTATTCCTGACCACCTGTTACTCTTCACTGTGAAAACAACTATTTCCCTCAGGTACCACCATGTGTTCTGTGACGATCCACTTCACACGCGGGTCCAAGTCCTGGCAGGAGCCCAGATGGGCCGGAACGAGCTTCACATCCCTAGGACCCCTGATCTGATCAGGGATGGGCATGAGATTTTTGCCATCGCTGATGGAACTCTAATTCAGAGCTGCTTAACAATTAGGACGAGGAAGCCTGCTCTTTCCTTTGATCTGGAAGCAAAAACACCCAAGGCTAGAACTGTCACAAAGAATGCTTAGACTGGAGAACATCAAAGGTGAGAGACAGATGGAAGGTGCATACTAACAGCACCTGTGTTTGCAGACACAGCCAGGAGCTGTTAGTGAGATCTGTCAAACAATTCTGTTGCTTGCTTACATGAAGACTCTTCAGTTATATGCAGTACAGATATTAACAGTCCTTAGAAAGCAACCATATACTGTGAACCAAGTATACCTCAAAAAAGGAGAAAAACCACAGCCATGTAAGGACACAACAGTTCATAGAGAACCTAATTTGTTTAATGGTTAAAAAGTACTTGATAGCTTCTTCAGCTATACATTAAACATCAACAAGCAATAAATTATATAGAATTCATCTAAAACAGAATTATA